ATGGCTGCTCTGAGTGGGATGTTTGCTTTATAGTCTTTACCACACTTGAAGGTGTTTTTTATTATTTATTATAAGCAGTATTGAAGCTGGATGTAATGTGGCCATACTGACAAGCTCTTCCAAGCATACACTTGACCTTTAAAATACAGGAGTGGTTTTTCCAGCTAATAAAAACTCAGCCAAGGAGGTGTTTATCTCCCTGAGCCATACACACAATAGTACAAGAGTCGTTTCCTGTATGAGTACAGTGCCCTCCTCCTGAGTGTCAATGTGTAATGTCTGAGCTCGGAAATAACCTCCAGAAGCTGTTGTCTGCAAATTTCACAAGTGGAGAAGTCAGGAGATTGGGATTTATTTGAAATTCAGTGATGCACAGACATCTTGTTGGTGCCTTACACACTGTGGTTGATCTCTACTGTTCCTTGGCTCTTCTTGAAGCTTTTCTTTTACTGACATATCAGTTAAAAACTGTTCTTATATGGAACAATGAAAACCTTTTTTTGCAACAACTTCACTACAGTTTTCAAGGATGAGTATATATAAAAAATGGGATGGGCTTCAGTGTTTCTTAGTTTGGTTTATCCAGTATAAAGACTGTTTCAAGGCTATTGTGTGATGGGGCAAGTGATAGGACATTTGCTCATCCAGGTGAGCCTGAGAAGCATCTGTGAGTCAGCCTTCCCTGGAGGTGTGTGTAACTTAAACCTTTGCACATCCCAACAACCCCTTTCCTTAAGCAGTAACAGGACAAAGGAATTGAAGGCCTTTGGTGCATGTTACAGGGATAAATTCCTCTGTGTGCAGAGGTTCTACACAAGAGCTTCAGCTCTTTACCAAAAACCAACTTTGTTGTTCGTCAGATGGCTCCATTCTGCAGTTCAGAATAGTTGTTACTGTATCAAACACTTAGGGGGGAAAAATAATCAGAGTAAGTCCTGTGTTGAAGGGGCTCTCAAGCCTGGCAGTTGTCTGATCATTGCTTCCACTGCTCTGCCTCAACCTCTCTTTCTCCCCAGGTGCAGCAAAGAGCACAGGAGTGTATCAAAGCTCTCAATCTCATTCTTAAAATAAATTCAGGAGAGGAAGTAACAAATGTACTACATTCAGACTTTGACTGGAACAGCCTAAAGGTGAGAGGAAGGTGCCACCAGTATTTTTTTAAACACCTAATAATGCTTCTGGTTTCCCCCTTCCATTTCTAAACTGGTTTGTGTAACGTATTCTGAATACCACTCTGTAGATCTATGAAAATCTTCTCAGGTCATCCAAAGCTGGATGGAGAGTAATGGAGCTGAAATTATGCTCTTCTTACTTCAGTAGGATCTAATGCCTGAAAAAAATTATTCCTTTTAAAAGTAAGTTTGGGAAAGAAAGTCTCTTACAGCACCTGGATTTTTTTGACAGGATTCTGTTGATACTAGCAGAATAGCTGTGATGGGACACTCTTTTGGTGGTGCTACAGTTATTGAAAGTCTCAGCAAAGAAATAAGATTCAGGTAAGTATGCAAAACAAGGCTAGAGACATTTGGCACTTGAGAGGTCTGGAGCAGGGCACTTTCCCTAGGATCCCCCAACTACTAATTGGCTCCTGAAGAAGAGTGTTGTTTGGCATGTTGTGTTTTCTCCAGCCATGCTTCTTCCAAGTGTGGGGATGTGGTGGAACATAACTGCATCTTATTAAATCATGGTACTGTGGGACCCTGCAGTCCAGCTGCACCTGGCAGTGGAGACCAATATATGGCAAGAACAGACTAATTCTCTTCCCCCAGAGTAGAGATAATTCTGGAACAAAATTATTTACCTGTTCAGTATCAGAGAGACTTTTCTCTTACCCGTAATCTCTTGCAACTCAAAGCATGCCCAGAACTTCCAAGCTTTCTGCTTCTGTGCCAATATCCCGATGTTTTTGGCAGGTGTGGCATTGCCCTCGATGTATGGATGCTTCCTGTAGGTGATGACATTTACCAAAACAGCGTCCAGCAACCACTGCTTTTTATCAACTCTGAAAAGTTCCAGTGGGCTGAGAACATCTTAAAGATTAAGAAGCTCATCTCCAATGACACAAACAAGAAAATGATCACTATCAAGTAAGTCTTTAGGAGCCATCATTTCCATCTGTGGTTGATGCTCTTGTTGGAGCTGTGCAGTTACAGGTAACTGCAGACAGACAGTCCTGAGAGCACAAGGCTGAGGAGGAACTGTGGGAGCTGGGGATCTTTAGTCTGGAGAAAAGGAGGCTCAGGGGGACTGCCTCACTCTACAGCTCCCTGACAGGAGGGTGGAACCAGGTAGGGGTTCAGGCTCTTCTCCCAGGGAACAAGAAGAAATGGTCTCAAGGCACACCAGGGGCAGTTCAGATTGGATATTAGGAAATACATCTTCATTTCAGTAGTTGTTAGGCATTGGACCAGGCTGCTCAGGGAAGCTGGGGAGTCACCATCCCTGGAGCTGTTTAAAAGACATGTAGATGTGGCACTGAGGGATGTGGTTTAAAGGTGGAATGGCAGTGCTGGGTTAATGGTTGAATTTAATAATCTTAGAGGTATTTCCAGCCTAAATGACACTATGATTGTCTCTCCTCATAGCCCAGGTTTTCACTGCATGTTTAAATTAGCCATTCATCCCCTACATCAGGGACAGAGACCTCTCAAAGCAGCCAGGAACTCCAAGTCTATGACTCTCCAAAGTGTGGATTCCTGCCCTTGGGTACAAGCTTTGTGCTGAGCCTTGTGCATCACCTGTGCTTGAACACTTGAACAGCTGCAGCCAGGGGAGGGATGGCTCTATCCTGCACCACTAAGCAGGGAGACAGCTTGATTTTGATGCTTTGCTAAGCCAACTCTTCATTGCTGTTGCATTACAGTGACTTACAGCGAGCATGTACAAACCTTCCTCCCTTCTGCGGTTAGGGCAGAATTTCCTGCTCATCTTGCATGCTTTTGAGATTAATCTGATTTATCTTCTCCTAAAACAACAAAAGACATGACTGAAGTCTGTGCCTCTTTAAATGAGGCAATTTAATGTAGTCTTACAAGCCTGATGATCATTTTTCCCTTGCAGGGGGTCAGTCCATCAGAGCTTTCCTGATTTCACCTTTGTGAGCGGGGGAATCATTGCAAGATTTTTCAAATTAAAAGGAGAAATAGATCCAAATGAAGCTATTGATATCAGCAATCATGCTTCATTAGCCTTCCTACAGAAACATCTGAGTAAGTATCTGTTTACAGCAAAGTATGAGGTTGACTAATACTTAATTCCTGTGAAGCTTTTTATATAATCATTGTTTAAAACAAGATCAAAATAAGTGTGTCAGTGGAAAAAATAAGTCAGACTTCTTCTAGAGATTTGTCAGTTACTTTTGTAATCTTAGCAACTCAGAGGAAAATCACTGACATTTTGTTCTGGTACAAAAAAATCTGGAGTGCAATTTTTTCCTCCTTAAAACATTTTTCCTTCCCTACTTTGCCAGGTTGATTTCATTACTCAGTATCGTTTTACAAAAAGCTGGTTACTTAACTCATAGCCACTTGGGTTTTCTTTCCCCCATCTTATAGGTCTTAAGAAGGATTTTGATCAGTGGGATTCTCTTGTGGATGGCATAGGACCCAATGTTATTCCTGGAAGCAATATTGACACATCTCCAGCTGAACCTGAATAAGGAATATAAAGAAGTACTGAAAATGCCATGGACATCAGGACACTAATATTGGTCAGACATGTGGTGGCATTAAACACCTACAAATCTTTTGAAGTGTGGAACAAAAAGAAGAGACAAGGCATTAAGCTACATAATCATAAAAACAGAGGTTTCTGTTCAAATGAGTTAGGGGGATGCTCTGAAATACTGCAACAGGGTCACTTCCACTTTGTAGGCAGCTTGAGGGAAATCACTTGGTAATAATTTAAATGCTCTTTCTGGTTTTGACTTGAATCAAGTTTGCAGAGAGACAGATTGACCTCCAAGGAATTCAGCTACAAGTTGGTTTACCAGGCTGTATGTCAGTTTGCATCCAGAAAGCCTATACTGCAAGGTAAGGGAAAAGAAACAAAAAAAAAAACCCAAACCACCACTTGTCTGTTTAGATACTAAGTATTTCAGCTGTGCTCTGACAAACAGTTGGGAGTCAGAGATGCCTGTGGAGGGTGGTCTTCAAAACTGTGTCTTATTTTAATAAGTCACAGTAAAAACTACAGGAAAGAGTTCAGCTGACAGCAGAGAAAGTCCAGATGCAGGACTCCCCACAGGAGTTTAATCCACTTAAATGTAAGATATATTTAGTGTCATACATAGAGGATGATGTTTATATCACAATAGCTTTTCAACAGGTCACTCTTGTAGCAACTCCAATTGCCTTTGGGAAAAGCTCCAGCAGCTCCTCTGTGTTTCCACAATCACACACAGTCAGACTGCAGGGGAAAAAGAGATGTGGCACCTCTACTGCTCCCTTTACATGGTCCTTGTTACCACTGCTTCAGCTCCTGAGGTGTCTCCAGGTGGTAAACAGTCCCCAGACACTCAGCTTTCTCCAGGTACTCACAATGGTATCTAGGTGACACAGGTGGCTCCCACTGACAGATACAGCAGTGGTAGTACCTGGGCAAAGACTGTCATCAGCCACCTGGGTGGCCTTCTTAAGGCTCTCCTTTTTGGATCAGAACTGCCTGAAGCTGCCCCATGGAAGGGTGTCTTCTAAATTCTGTTCACTTCAAAATCAGGTTACAAACAAAATCACTGAAGCAAACAAATTAAGAAATTAACAGTGTAATTAAGTATTTTACATAATCTGTGATCTTAAAATGAGATTGCAATAACACCTAGACCTATCTTTCAGAATTTAATTAAATTCTCCCCAGCCTAGTGCTGTGTATTGTCTCTATTAAGCAAATAAACACGTTTGACTTACTGAGTCAGCATTAACACATGAAATCTACTGTGAGATTCACTATCAGCCAGCTTGGGTTCCTAAGTCCTTGTTTCAGTATGAAAAATCCACAGTTTCTGAAGAGGAGGGAACAGCTATGAGCATGGTATAGGAGCATGGAACACCACTATAAAATAGCACCCCATTTTCAACACCTGATAAGGAAAGTAAAAGGTGACATCTCCTTAAAACAGCTGCAGGGTCACGTCCTCAGCACACTGCACACATGTAGCAATAAAACCATTCCATTGGGTCGTCTTCATATTTATAGGAAAAGCTTCATCTTTCATTAGTACAATTGCAGCAAGTTCAGTTAATTTAGTGCAGTTAATGTTTCAAAACATTCACCATAGCTCACAGTGTTCTAGAGAGCTGGTTAGGATCAAAACACAACCAGTGACTGCACACAGCAGTTGGGCTTCTGCACAGGAACAGACACATGTCATTAAAACACATAAACAAACCAGTATGTGCCAGCCAAAGCTTTATTCCATCTTCTTCCATTGCTTTAGAACAGCACCAAATGCAAGACTTCAACCCAAAACAACTTTGTTCCCGTATGGAGAAAAAAAAACAACTCCCCACCCCTACCCCCCAAAAATACCCTCAACTTTTTTTTTTGAGGAAAAAAACACTTAACAATGCAACTTTTTCAAAAGCAAACATCAGAAAGCAGTGCTGTACAACACAGTAGCATATACAGAAACTTACAAGAAACTTTTGTTGAAGAATCACCCATGAGGAACTCCATACAAGTCAGTACACCCCCAGTCAGTAAAAAATGCCAGTCAAGAGGCAAATTCTTATTAGGAAAATACAGCTGTAAGAAACAAGCTAACAGTAACAGTCTAGCAACAACAGCTGTAAGAAAACAAGCTGAAATTAACTGTCTGCCAAGACTATTCCTTTACAGGGAAGTTCAGTAGTGACAGGTATTTGGTCAGTTAGGTAGAAAAAATAAGCCACTCAATGCTCTGCTGGTATTTTTGTTCCCACAAACACATTTTTATGGGAACATTTTATACACAGGCAGTTGTTCAGTTTCACATGGTCTACATGTCACTTGGTTTCAGCACTGCTCGAGGACATGAGGATCTTCAGCTAAATTGCTACTGCAGCCAGTTTGCTTTTCTATAGGGAATAAACACAGAACAGACCCATCAAGATGTTTCTATAAATGTGTTTAAGGGCATTAAGATCACAAGTCAGCTCTACAGGGCTTTAGACTAAATACTTCTGACATATTGGACCATGTTAAAAGACTACACTTATTATACAAAGATAAAACAGTTGAAACAGCAGAAGTGCTCCCAGATTTCAGATCCGAGTTCAGGTTTCTCCATCCCTCAGTGGGCTTTGCATAAACCACTGCAGGAGTTTTTTCACCCCGAGTACCTCCTACTCAAACTGCCTTTCCAGGCACTGGCAGTGTCTGCAGCAGGTTCCAGCTCTGTGACACGTGGGTGCATGACTCCGACTCGCCTCTCCTGTGCTGGCACTTAGAGTGCATACACTAACTCCATGCAAAGTATTCAAGAACAGAAAAAAATCCACAAAATCAAGAATAATCCTGCATTTGCGTGATACAACTGAGGGAGACTGTAGATTGACCATTTTACCAAATTCTTTAACTACCCTTTTTCTTGCTTAACGGGCAACCTGATCTCTGTTCCAGGCTTCCTTATTTGTTACCCAAAAAACAGTAGTTATGCTAAAACACAATTACCAATTAATCCCCGAAAGCAAAAATGCTATCCCCACTTCAACTCAGTTTAGTCTTCATCAGGCAACCACAGAAACAAATTGCTGAGACAGGTTCTGGAGTCTCCATTCTTGGATGGATTCCAGGACTGGCAGTAAGGTCCTTAGCAATCTGATCTAGTTGGCCCTGCTTTCACCACCAGGAAAGACCCTTTTCAACCAGAACTGCTCTACAATTCCATAATTATAAAAATAACATATAAACAAAAAGAACCTGTACTATTTATTTGGTATACTGAAGAGGTGTTTACCAGTAGCACTTCAAAAATTTAAGTAATAATAAAGATGTACTTTTCACAAACTATCCTTACAACAAGTAAAATGGTATTATAATGGATTTGGAGTTACAGATTATGGGACTGGGGCACTCAAATGCTAAACTAAATGTTTTAATAGTCTGCCTAGCAGTTGCTCACTTTGCCTCAGAAACATTACCAAGAACAGCATGCTGACAGCAGTGCTCAAAACTCCGCCAAAATCTGTAACTTGGGTGGACCATCTCAGCTGTTCCAAGAGGCTCAGTCCATTAGATGAATAAATAAATACTAAATTGGTTTGGAACTGTGACACAGCAGCAACTTTCATTGCATGCAGTCACCCTTAAACTGACAGTACATAAACTAATGCTATCAAGAAAATTCCAACCACAGTAACAACTACATAAACTCAAATTAATGTTTCAACTGTATTTTCTATAATAAAGCACTTCCTAGAAAATTAGAAACCATTCAAATGCAGAGTACACAACCCATGTGGGGGGCTTAAAGTAGACTTACCTTGAAGTAGGGACTCCTCTGGTAAGGGCTGCAAGTTTTCTTTTGCAGGGGTTAATGCCTACACAAAAAGGGATCCTGTTAGGAAGCTGGCACTGTTGCCAAGACTTCCACTGAGGTGCTTCCTTTAATACTAGATTAACTTCTTACATCAGCACTACTGGACTCCTATTTACCATTGTTTTCCCCCCTTATAACTCACTATATTAGTCTTCTGCCCGCTTTTCACTTTGATACAAAGGCTGCATGTGAAGAACAAACTGGAAATCCATGCTGCATCAGCAGCATGGCTCATCACCTGAGCTTTGGGTTCCAGACAAGTTTTTTTTATCCACTGGTAGGTACTTCATGAAGAACACTGATGAAAACCTCACTATTCTTTCCTAATTTCTCCATAAAAGTGTTTTTCATAATTTAGCAGTTAGTTAGCAGCCCTTCTAAAAACCAGTTCTGTCCTGCCCAGTCCATTATCACACTGCCATACCTCAGTTGATCTGCAAGCCCAGTCAGGAATTCCGTTCCAGACATTCTCAGGATGAACAATCTCCTCATTGCCACTGCAGAGGTTCAAGACCTGCACAGACAGAGCCAAAGTGGATCTAGCACAGCAGCAGTACACTTAAATAAGACACAGCAGTAGGAAAACACAGTTGAGGACTCTGCCTTTGAGAAGGTGTTGAGAGGTCTGGATCTTTCAAAGAAGGACAAGCTAATCTCTAATAAAACTAAATGTAGTAGTGACTGAGGCTGCTCAAGGCTCTTCTAGGCTCCTAACACAAGCACAGTGAGAAAAAAGCTGTGAAACACTACTAGATCAGAATCAGAAGGCAGCTGATGAATAGGGATATCATTATATGGTAATCCCTGACACTGCCTCATCTGCATGCAGCTGAGCTTAGTTTTAGACACCCCCAGGATCTACCAGCACAAGAGCTGGCTTCCACAATCTCTGACACTCAATTTTCCAAAAGGATATTTTTATGCAATGATCTTTTGGATTTGCAATCTTAAGTTACAACTTAGAGGTCATTTTATGTAAGTATAATGTCTGTGCAAGTGTGTACAAGAACACATGCTCCCCTCCTGGACTGAAGGGAGATGTCTCATTCATCCCCCAGCTTAAACAGCAGTAGAACAAGGCAACTCACTGCATTATTCTTTACTCTTGAAGATAGCTCCCACCAACCACTAATTCAATACACATTTCACTGAAGCAGGAATAGTTGTGGATTCATCATTACTTGCAATATAGTTTGAGTTTCTTCCCAAGTTTCTACTGCTCTAGCACTAACTCCTCAAACCACCAGTAAAATAATGTCAAGTTTCATGAGCATTTAATGGTAATACAGCTCCACTGCAGAACACTAACTTGCAGGCCAGACAGAACCACACATCTCAAACTGGAGCCAGATCCTTCAATATTCTCAGTCAATAAAAGAGAATAAGATGTGAAGGGAACATCAAGTGTTGACATGCATCATCAACTCAATTTGAGACACTGCTACATCTCTCCAGTTATAAATTTAGAATCAACATTTGCAATACTTAAATTCTGTAACAATTAAAAAAAATATTTATTCAGAGTTTAGAGAAGGATTAAAGGACCAGATCTAAAGAATGCAGAAAGAGTATTCAAACCACACTTACCTTGGTACCCTTCTCAGATACCTCCAAAATGCGAGCATCACACCATTTGAGAGAAGTCCATATCACACATTTGGAACCAACAGCAAAGCCCTTCAGATTACAAGGATAGTCATGGCGTGCTACAAGAAAAGGTAATTTACCAATGAAGGAGAATGGAAAAAAAAAAAACCAAAAAAAACCAAACTCACAAAACCCCACAAAAATGAACCCTCAAAAAAAATCTCAGATGTCTCAAACACTGCTGCTCCACCTCCTCCAAACTACTTGATATTTGGAAGTTAAAAAATTGTCATCCCAGTCTTGTAAATGTGCTTCATGTTCAGAAATGGATTTCCACCCAACATCATTAATCTTCCAAGCAAGACTGTCACATTACCCTTGAGATACTACACTCAGTCTGCTGTCCTTAATCCATCAAAGCATTAACACTAATACATTATCTTATTAGGGAACAAAAGCTAGGTTTTTTTACAAGAAAGCTATTCTCATGTTTGAATGTACACATTTTGATTATTTAACTCTTTAAAATCAGATACTTTACCTCCACTGCAGTCAGCCAAGTTCTCATTTTGCTTTTCATCTTCCCCAGGCTTACAGCATAAAGACTGAACACACTTATTTTCACTCTCTTTAAAGGAGTCAGTCAAGTCTTGTTCCATCCATTTGTCCACAGAGTCATCTTTCTTCTGCCACCCCTTATGTTTCTCAACTTTATAGTCACGTGATTTCACAGTGAAAACAGGCCTTTGATTTGCTGAGTCTTTTGAAAGAAATGAAAATTGACTTCCACTATTTGCAGAACTCTGTAGCATAGCATGTTCCAGCCCTAACAAGTCCTCTTCCCCATCTCCCTGAGGAGTCTGAAGATCAGGCAGCACCAGTTCCAGGAAGGGCTCAAATTTGGCTCCTAGCATTGGCTGATTGCCATGCATCTTCTGTTGCAGTTCTTTCTCAGGTCTACCACCAGATGATGACAGCCTTAGGGAGGGAGGGTCTGCTTCCATCCAGTCATCTAGTACAGCTTCTGCTTCATGAATTCCAGACAAATTTGCTTGCAGTTTCTTGGTCTTCTCTCCCAAAGAAGGCTGAACATCAGATGGAATCAGCTCTACTGACTTCTCTCTGTCACTAACTGAAGGCACCAGGTTTTCTTTCTCATTAAGTAATGGTAAAATTTCAAGATGGTTCAGAGCTGTCACTTGCCCGGCCTCCTCCCTCACATCTGGCAGCTCCAGCAATTCCTGCTCCAACACTGTCTCTCTTGCTTCACTGCCTGACGCTACCTGCATTTCAAGGGACTTTGCTTCCAGCACTTCATTTGTTCCTTCACCAGAGGAGGACTTTTCCAAAATTCCCATTAGCTCCTGTATGAGCTCATTTAAGTCCTCACATGGTACGTGCATTTCAAATGGATCCAGTTCTCCTAATGTCTCAGTTCCATTGCTTGCAGATGGCTGTGCCTGGAACACTGGCAAACTCTGCAGTTCTTTTTCTTTTTCTAGGAAAAGGCTGGCTGCTGGAGCACCGCCTGTCACTTCTGCTTTCAGCTCAGCCTCCTCTCCAAACAGTATTTCAGACAGGTCTTGCTCTGCAGCTTTCATTTCATTCCCCACAATACGAGGGCTGCAGCTTCTCACTGGCTCTAGTAGCATACTGTTGTCAGTGTCACCTTCAGACAGAGGTATCTCTTTACCAAAACTGTTCTCACGCCCTCCTACTTCATATCCGTCATCAACCTTCCCACTGGCAGCTCCCACTGACACCTTTGTTTCTGCAGTTTCTAAGCACTCAGAAGTTACACCCAGGAAAGGATCAGTACAAAATAAAGCACTTTCACTTTCTTCCTGAGCTAAACCACAAACAGCAGAAGTTTCTTTGTCGAGACAAAGACTCAAATTGCTGCTTGAACTTCTGTTTTCCTTTAGGGGGTTGCAAAGGTTTGAGAAAGCCCTGTCACCAGTTTCTTTATTAGCATTCCAGTAAGATTTCATCTCTTCATTAATACTATTGCCAGAAGCTTCCAGCTTGACAACACACAGAGGGACTTCAGAATCTTTATTTTCTCGAATTTCTACTACTTCAGCCTCCAATACAAGGTTTTCAGTCATATCATAAAACTTCTTATTTGCTTCACTAAGCCATGAGCCGTCTGAGGGACTGAAACCTGACAGGCTGCAAGCAAATGCTTGCCCAGGTACTCTGAGCAGTTCACATGGCATCTGTCGGATCATCTCCAGACTGATACTTTCCTCACTTCCGTAGTCCACGTGTCTAACAACTACACTGTCATCATTCACACTGCTGATCTGAGCTCTGTAGAACCACCCATCTTGACTGTATTTTGCTAGACAAGTATCACCACTTTTAATACAAGACTTGCCATCATTCAGAGAACTTAGTCCAAGCTTTTCAGCTTCCTCTATTTTTTTCTCGATGTAGCTCACAACTTTGGTATCAGCACGGTGACACCAGAAGTATCCTGGATTATTTACCACTGTGATGTAAATTTTTAAAGTCTGACCTGCCTCTGGAAATTTCCAGTTAAATGATTTACAATCACTTACACAGGAAATTTCATTTTGTACCTGAGGAGGCAAAGACTCACAGACAGTGATCATGTGTTCAGGGTTCTCTCTTCTATCAATTTTTTTTCTGGAGAAAAGTCTTTCTCTATTTACAAGATCTTTATCAGCTAAATCCACTGTTATTACACCTTGATGGTCACTGAGAATAACTTCCCATTTATCCTCAACCTTCTTTACAAATTCACATGACAGCAGGATTTCACTTGTTCTCTTGGTGAAGTAAAACACTGCCTTCTCTGTCCAGTCTGCATGTTTTTTGCATTTGAGTCCACCTAGGAAGCAGTGAATGCTCATTGCTGGAATAGATGACAAGTTCTTAGGGAGCCTTCGTGCTTGATCAACACTAATAACAGAAGTATCACCATAATCAATATAATGTACCCTTATTGAATTGTCAGAAGTCTTCTCTTTTACTACAGCTCGATACCACAGGCTGTCTTCTGAATAAACAGCACTGATTAAATCTCCCGCTTGGAAAAGCTGTCCACAAGGGTCCTTCACTGATTTCCCATTGTTTAAACTTTCCAAAATGTTTTTAAGCTGAACCTCATCACTCCCTAGTTGAACATAAAAATCCTGCGGGTCACTGACATAGGACACATACACTAAGGTTTTAAGAGCTGGCACTATCTTCTGTGGTGGTAGATCAGATGCATTTTTAAGCATTATACACCTGCCTTCAGCATCAGATTTAGTATCTGACAGTTTATCTACCTGGGAAGAGAGCAGAGACTTCTCCCCTGCTTTATTCAACAAAACAGCATCCTTTGTGCTAAGTATCTCATCAGGTTCTAGTAATCCAGCTGCCACGTCTCCCTTCATATTCATAGAGTGCTGGAAAACATTTACAACTTCTTTGAAGTGTCTTTTGCTTCCTTGTGCTTGCTGGGTTGCAGGTGGACGTCTGTTTCCTTCAAGAGGCCTATCTTCATTTAAAGGGGACTCTGCAGTCTCATCCCTCTCATTCACCTCTGTATTTCTAGAGCACAAAGTCTCATTGTGAACATGACTACACAGTCCTGTACTGTTCAGGCTTAGCTCTTTCAGTTTTGTATTAATCTGAGCATTTCTATCAAACAACTCAACCAGCAGTGTATTATCAGAGTCCTTTGCTACCACTATTGCTTTTAATCTCTTTTCTAGGACAGCTTCCTTAAACCATGTTTCAGCTTCTTTGGAAACAGATGACACATCAGACACAGAACACTTTATGGCCTGCATTGGCACAAGCAAGACATCAGAAGCATCATTGGGTAAAATAAGCAGATCATCTGTCTCTATTGTCTCTGTGTTCCCAAAATCCACAAAGAAGACTTTAGCCTTAGGTTGTCTTTCTATAATTACTCCCCTATACCACTGACTGTCAGAGTACCTTGCTAGACACAAGGTCCCAGACTTCCCCAAGGTTCCTGTGCTGATTACTCTCTCACTCAGGCAACTGATGTCATCAGCCAGCTGTGCCAAGGTATCTGCACACCTTTCAAGTTGGCAGTAAAACGTCCATGGATTCTCAACATGCGTAATATAAACATCTTCCTCACTCCCTATTTTGATGCCATGACTAGAATAATAGAAAGAGTGAAGCTGGACCAAAGATTCCAGATCCTTTTGAGGAAATAAACGTCTGGCTACACCCCTCTCAGTGAGAAACTGGCAAGCACTCTGAAAAGGTGTGATTAAATCTACAATGTTAAACAGGTCCCTATTTATTGAAGCCAAGGCAAATATTGTACACTTCAGGTCAATGTCAGATGATGAATCAACAACAAACTGATGAAAAGCCTGAATTGCTTCTTCATCCCAAGCAAAAGGATTCTGACCATTGGGTTGGATTAAGTTGTAAAGGCTGCACCTGAATGCCTGAGCCTCTAACCTAAGGAAGCGTTCATTAATTGCACGGAGCTTCCTTACACACACCTGCTCCCTGTTGCCATAGTCAACATATATGACTTCTACTTTTTCTGCATAAACTCCTTCACTAACTATTAAAGCCCTGTACCATTTTTTATCCTCTGAGTACTGGGCTAAACACACAAGATTTGGCCAAACATGTGGCTGGGATGAATTTTTGCAGTGCTCCTGAATTTCATCCATTAGTACCTCAAGGTCATGGCAATTTCTACTTAACTGACACCAAAAACAACTAGGATTCTCAACATATGACAAAATAACATTAACTGTACTTCCCACTTCTAAGTGGCCTCCACAAGAGGAGCCTGGCTTAATTTCCACATAGTTCTGTCTCAAAGAGGTGTGCAGATTTTCCTTATTCTCATAGCCTTGAGAAGGAAGAGATTCACTGCTTTCAGAATTGTGACTAACTGCAACAGGGCTCTCTCTCACCATCACGCCCACTTGAGAACCAAGTATTCTACCACTACTCTTTAGATCACATTCTTCCCTGACCCTCTTCTCTGCATTTATTTGGCTTTCCTCTGCAGCACATATTAGGGAAGAGGCCTGGGTCACAGACTTATCTGATTTCTGGTAAGTCTTGGGTATTTCATATCTCTGGTATTTAGCATAACCCCCCTGGGCCATAAGTTTACTTATTCTTCCCTGTCCTAACTGGGATTGGTCAAAAATTTCAACAATATATTTGTCACCCTGCACATTCAAAAACCAAACCTTTAGTTCCTTGTTCAGTACCATCTCCCTGAATGCAGACACAGAAGCTTCACTCCAACTCCCTTGTGGAGGGGAGACACCTGCCAAACAACACTTCAGAGCTAAAGCAGGCAGTTCCTTGAACCGAGGGAGCAGCTCCTTCACAGCACAGAGATCCACAGTTTCTGTACTGCCTCTGTCCACCAGGTGTATTTCCACCCCAGTGTCCAGTACCCTGGTGACCACCGCTCGATAAAAAACACCCTCATTCCCACTGGCACAACAAAGGGATCCAGGCTGTGGGTCCCACCCAGCACCATCCAGCTTTGTGGAATGGGAATAAAAATTCCACATGCACTGCCTCAGCTGCCTGAAGAGCTGGTAATACTCATGGAGCTGCAGCCAGAACTCAGATGGGTCTCGGAGATGAGAAACCCGTGCAGTGTACAATGTCCAGGTCTTCAGATGCACACCAGCGACAGCAGACAAATCTCCATGTGTTAAAACAGGAGGTGCTTCTGGTGGCAATTCCAATTCTTCAGCTAAGGATTCCTCTACTTCCAGCTGCTCGTGAGCTTCAGTTTGGCTCATGTGACTGCTGACCAGGCAGCAAGCCCGAGACCCAAAAAGATGGTTCAAATCAACACCATTTTCCCCATAGAGGGTCACGTAATAGAGATGCTCAAAGGAGTTAAAGGCTTTGATGTGAGCACTCACTCCTCTACCGAGCACCAGCGCTTTCAGCAAATCCACCTGCAACGGGGACCAGCCACAGCCCCCATCTGAAACACCCTGAAGAGCACACACGTAAGTGACCACAGGCATACGAAAACACTCAGCAGGTAAATGGCGCAGGTTAGCCCTGGTCACAGTCTCCTTTTTGCCATAGTCCACAAAGATCACGACAGCTGCATGTTGATCCTGCTCCCCAGCAAGGAGCTCCAGCAGAATAGCACGGTACCACTGGCCATCCATCCCACGGGCAGCACAGGGCGAGCCCACTTTGGGCAGCAATTCCTGCTCCCACTGGTCATAAGCATGGCATATGGTATCAGAAAGACAATAGATCTCCTGTGACAGGCACTGCAACTGGCAGTAAATGTGGTGTGGGTCAGAGACATGGGTCACTATGACAGGCTCTGTCACACCCAACTGAAGCTGAGGGTAGTAGTAATCCAAGGCAGATGACAGAGGCTGGTATGAGAACAACACACGGACAAGCTGCGGAATCGCAAAAGCTCCAAGGGAACACGCTGGAGGCTGCTGACAGAGCTGCTTCTTTAACTGACTAAATGGCAGGCAGCACTTGAGCACCTGGCAGAAGCAGCTGGGAGAGACACGTTTGGCCAGGCCCAGCTGCCGCATCTGAGCTACGAGCTGGGGCAGCTCAAGCACGATGAGCTGCGGCGTTATCACCTCCTGCACCACACCAGACACCTCCTTGCCATGCAGGAAGCTGAGGAACTCCATTGCCTCTACGGTCCACTGGGACACTGGTGAATCCCCACTTGCTGTTCCCTCGCGACTGTGGGAGGGCATGACATCGGCCACAATACAGCCCAGCACCTCCGGGGGCAGCTGGAACAGCTCTGAGCAGCCCCGTGCCAGGTAACAGGCGGATGTAGTCACCACGTATCCCTCGTCCAGCAGGAAGACACGGTACCCCTGGGCACTACAACTCACCACACAGCACCGGTACCACACGCCCAACACCTCCACCAGCGCCAGCTCTCCTGGGCACAGGCTGGTCCCGCTGGCCCCCGGCCCGCTGGGCTCTGGGCAGGCCGCCAGGTGCGGCCCGGCCGCCACCTGGATCTCGCGGTGGAGGAGGGCATAGTCAGCCTTACGGTCACCCAGCAGTCCCCACAGCCGCAGGATGGGCACCTCGGGGCACAGCCCCACTGCACGGACCCGCAGGGTGACGGTATCGCCGCGGCCGAGGGATCCCGGCCCGGAGCTCATCGCTAAGCCACCCAGACGCCGCCTCGCCCCGCGCACGAGGCGAATGAAGGCACCACTCTCCGCCCCTCGGCCTCATATAGAGCACGCGCCGCCCACGTGACCAACAGGGAGCCGTTAGCGGCTGCCCCGGCGGCCGAGTCCATTTTGATCCTCTCGGTGGGGTGGAGATTGGCGCGAAGGGAAGGCTGAAAAGGAAGGTGAAGTGGGCTGATACATGGGGCCGCTCCTGCTACGCCAAGACTGCGCGGAAGCACCACGAAGAGGAGAGTTACGGAATTATGGCCGGGGCTCCGCGGGGTTCAGGGTAGAGCCCGGCATAGCTGCCCTCACCCACGGTGGAGCGCTCCACTCCGGATGGGTGGCGGCGGGACGGCGGGGGCGGGGTGAGGGGGGAGAGAGCGCGCCGAGCCCGCTTAGCTCCCATTGGTCAGAGCGGCTCCGGGGGCGGGACACGCGTGCGGAGCTTGGCGGCTATTGGCCAGCGGCGTTGTGAGGGCGGGGCGTGGCGTGAGGGCGGCAGCCGCGGTGTGAGGGCGGGGAGCTCGCAGTGGTAGCCCAATCGCTAATAATTCACACACAAAGAGAGAGATTTATTAGGAGTTAAATTAAGTTTTTCACTACAAGATTTTTGCAAATAACTTTTTTGGTTTTTATTTTGAGCTGTGCTTCAAGGGTCCGTATTTGGACCAGTGTTATTTAGTATCTTCATTAATTGCATAGATGAGGGGTTGGAGGGCAAGTGACACCAAGCTGAGTGATGCTGGTGCTGCCAAAATCCTCTGAGATCATTGGGATAAATAAGGCTCTACTAGCACTGTCTTTTTAGTGTTAGCGAATCAGGCATTACTTTATTCCTGGCCAGGAGAGGGGTGTGTAGGTGTGTGTGTGTCTGACAAAATCATGGTCTCTACTCTGATGCAGATACCGAACTTCTATGTTTACTTATATATGTATATTTACATATGTATTTTTAGCAAACAAATTACTGTTCACTGGTTCTAAATTACAGGATTCTCTTTCATTAATTAGTATTCTGTCTTCTATTGGATATTGATTTCTCACTTCTCTTCCAAATTAGTCTATACTTTTCAGTTCTTTTATTATCTTTTTTCCAGGCAGGGACTTTACAGCACACATACTGAGTCTTCGTTAACCTTTTTTTTTGTCTGCTGTTTTCTGCAAAATGTCCTTATGGTCCATAAATTGTGCACTCCTTGTATCCAGTTTCACCAATAGACTTCTCTTCTTTTAAGCTTTGTTAATTGAAGCGTATCAAGGTTATTCTAACAAAACTTAAAAGAGTTTCGGTGATTTTCCCAAGCTGTGTGCCCAAAAAAAGTCGTTTACGGCAACTTTGATAAATGCATGCTAAAACTGGTTTTACACCCTACTTATAATATACTGGTTACGATGATCAGAGAGGTTGAGCAACTGTCCTTCATGGAAAGGCTGAGAGAGTTGGGATTATTCAGCTCAGAGAAGAGAAGCTTCAGGGTGACCTAATTGTGGCTTTCCAGTACCTGAAGAGAGCCAACAAGAAAGATGGAGAGGAACTTTTTACAAGGGCCTGGAATGACAGGACAAGGGGAAATGGCTTCAAACTGAAAGAGAGCAGGTTTAGATTGGCTATTAGGAAGAAATTCTTTACCATGAGGGTGGTGAGACATAGGAACAGGTTGCCCAGAGAAGCTATGGATTCCCAATCCCTGGAAGTGTCCAAGGCCAGGTTGGATGGAGCTTGGAGCAGCCCGGTCTAGTGGAAGGCATCCCTGCCCATGGTAGGGGGTTGGAACTGATCTTTGAGGTTGCTTCCAACCCAAACCATTCTACAATTGTATGATAAAAGTACTTATTCTGTCTCATGAGAAAGGTAAAGCTGTGTATGCATCACTGGGTTACAAGGGAAATGGGATGGTAGGCAGGAGCAGCAGCCTTGCTGGTTTGTCATTGCTGGTGCTGGAGTACAAGACAGAAAGAACTTAGATTAGTATCTCAGGATGACAGCTAGAAAAATACCAGGATTTCTGAACAAAACCTTCGTACTGATGTATAGGAGATGCTACCTGAATATGAGGAAGAAATTTACTGTGCAGAGACCAAGACTGGAATGGAATGTCCAGAGAGGGTGTGGAGTTTCCCTCACTGGGGATATTCCAGAACTGTCTGGGTGTAATCCTGTGCCCTCTGCTCTGGGTTGACCCTGCTTGAGCAAGGAGGTGGGACCAGATGAGCCACTGTAATCCCTTCCAACCTGCCCCATTCTGTGATTCTGTGACTCCCTAATAATGGTGAGATGAATGTTTTCCAAGCTGGAAGCGCACCCCCAAATGCATACAGCCACAACTCAATTACCATACAATCAGAAAGTACAAGTGCAAGCCAAGGAGACACCCAAACTGTGTTCAATGAGAAAATGGCACACTGGAGAAACTGGTTGCAAAGACTAGAAGAAATCCTGGGTATTTATTCAGAGAGACAAGTTTTCTACATTAATTCAACTATTAGATATTACTAAATCAAAGCCAGCTTTGTTTTATCTACTCATGGCTGCTTTTGATACTGCATTTTTGACTCTTGATTGCCAAAGGTAAGGCTAGTGACAAACAGCACTAGTCTTCTTCTCTATGAAATCTGGAAAGCTTCAGATTTAAAAAGAAATAAATCACTTCTGTTCAAATGTTTTGCATTATTGAAGGGAAAGTTGTATTTCCAGAGAGATTTGAAGTGGGCAGAGAGCACATTTCCATGGAAAATGACCCAGTCTGCAACATCAGCACCAAGATTGTCATGGGACAAGTAGTTCAGCTCAGTCCTATGGAGTATCCTGAGTCCTTTGAGTGCTGCAGAGCAAACTAGGCTTTTGATTTTCTGGGAACAGGACTGCATTTCAATCATGATCTTACTCAAATAGTTGAGTGGAGAGGTCAGGCAGTCTCTGGGAAGTAAGAGAAACACAAACCCACTTTTTGTGCAAAGCAGATTTGAAATCAGGAAAACTGCTTTTATCTTTTTCAAAACCTAGTACTACAGGGTTAGCTTGCTGAGACATCAAACTAACAAGAGGTAGTTCTTTATCTGTGTGCAAATGCAATTAACAGCAAAAAATTCCCAAATAATTTTACAGATGTTTAGCCACAGAACTTGTTCAGTGCATTGATCAACCTGCTCTTGTCTCAAACAATAGAAACCATCTCAATTATCAAACAGACAGTGTTATGTTCCATTTGCTTGGTAGAATTTTTTTAATTCCTGTTTGCTGGTTGAGAAAGCTGATGCTGGCTGCTAGCTGAAGTATTATTGTGACAATTTTATCCTGTGGATAACAAATTTCATGTCGCAGTCTGACAATCAAATAGTATCCTCAAGTCAGGGCTGCTCCCAGCCAGTAAGGACTGGATTTGAAGCAACAAGCTATACATGTGATCTTACTACCTTGTGGAATGAGAATTCAGCTTTTTGAGTCTTCTCTCTTCTGTGAATGGTAAAGGTTTTAAAAAGAAGTAACTCCACACATCCATCTGATTTGTTCATATGTAAGCCAGAATACCAGCGACCAAGGTGCCTGTGAAAAGCAAACACTGAAGTTAGAGGCGTAAAACAAAAGTAACCCAATAAATAAACCCATTAGATTAAACTGTCTCTCTTTAAAAATCCTATTCTTAAGTTCAGTCTCACACTGCTCAGATTCCCAGAGAGGTTCCCAAGCCTCTTGTCTGCCCAGAGAGGCTGCGAACTCCCCATCCCTGTGATGCCTTACGTTTTAGCTTTCATATTTTTAGATTCTGTGCTGCTTTGGTGTGTAACTCTGAGCTTCATATTAAGTGTTAGTAAATTCTCTTCACAGTGTAGGTAGACAAAACAATCTTTTTCCACCTTGAGACCAAGGATAGTCAAAAAGATAAAAAATAGGCCCAAAAATTTTAAACAACAGTGAATTGAAGAGAAAAAACAAACAGGATGGGACTTCATAACCTAAAGCTATTATTAGACAATTGACTCCAATATGCAAGTAGACCAAAAAACTTATAAAAAGTGTGAGACCTCATGACTGGTCTTCCATTTTGTGACCATTTTGGGTCCATCTTTGGTGTAGCCCTGGCCAGGCTCTTGTTCTGCCCAAGGTGGATCTTTTAAGGCCTTTTAATAAATGCCTATTTTATCCTTTAACTATCTACTCTCTGTTCTAGGTCAGCCTCTCAAGGCTTCACCTGGAAATGTTCAAGGCAAGGTTGGACAGGGTTCTGCGCAAGTGGAAGGTGTCCCTGCCCATGGCAGAGGGTTTGGAATGAGATGATCTTTAAAGTCTCTTGAACCCAAACTGTTCTACAATTCTGTGATTATGTCTTTCATACAAAAATTGTAACATTACATGGGGTTAGGGCTGCGTCCACACTCCTCATATTTTAATGCTGATTGTTCTTGTAAAGAGAGTTAAAAAGCATGTACCATTCTCATCCAGGTTGGTATAAAGCCTTTGTACAGAGACATAAACCCTTCACCCTGGACAGTTTGAATCAAGCAGTCCACAGAAGATTTATAGAGCAGACCTCTAGCAATGTACAAAGAGAACAAACAGTATTAGGATTAGAAATACACAATTTTTAGAAAAACCTATCCCTCTCATAAAAATAATTTGTAGCTGATGTTTTTCTACAAGCCAAAGCACTTTTGTAAGCTCCTTGGAGTCTAATCCAGAACTGAAATCCACTGGTTATGCTTAGGTGGCCATCACAACACCCCCCAGATATTTACTAAATCAGTAAAATCATCACCAGAAAGAGGAAGAGCAAATTATTGACTCAGCACTTCACTCCCAGTGAGATCAGTGAGACCCATGGTTTCAATGTGCTGCTGAAAAGTTGGTCTCTGAAATGTCCATACCTTCCCTGCTTATCTCTTGGCTGGTTCATTATCCGGGTTTTGACCACGTCAGCAGGAGTTCCCAGAACAGCTGCTACCAGCCCGGAGCAGGCACTGCCAACAGCAACAGATACTTAAGGAAGAAACCAAGATATATCATAAAAATTTCAGCATTGTGATTCCAGTTTTTATAATAAAGATATCTATAAAAAAAAATTATATATATATATATATATATAAAATCATGAGTAATAACTCATAACATAAACTAGGTTTGGACGCTTGCTAGTGCTGCTCTTGCTCACATATCCTCACAGTGCCAGCTGCCCTCACTTCTGTGTGCAGTTCTGAGTCAGGGATGAAGGACCCACAGTAGGCAATTCATAATACTGTTTATATAAATAGATTTTTTCATCATGTGAGAGAGTAAAAGAGGATGTTCTGCAGAAGTTGTATCACTGTGCTCCCACAGATTGGAGCGAAGATGTTTAAATGCACCAACAAGGCACTTCTAGTGAGGGCAGTTTTGCAGCAATGGTTGCATCCTTTCTCTTGTGTCTTCTATAAAGTGATGTTCTCACAGGAAAGAAATAATTCTAAAGCTGCATTTCATCAGCAGTATCAAAATCAAAGAATGGGGTCTTCTGCTGGCACAGAGAGGCAGATGAAGACAGCAAGGCTGGAAATGCTCCACAATGGAAAAGGGGTAATTGGGGAATACGGCACCTGCTAACACTGTGAGTCACGCTATTGTCCACAAGTGTTGTGTTCAGAAGCAAAAAGTGTTTCACTGAGTCATAAGTGGTTAGATCTGTAAAGAGGATAATGAGAAAAAACAGCACCGTCAGGAGTGATTGATGTCTTCGCTGTTCACGACACAGGATATTCATTTCCATTGTGGCTCCTGCCTTTGGCACAGCTGGCATTCTGCCCCCAATTTTTAATGAGGGCTGTGGCAACTGAGTCCTGTCTTTAGACATGTGGGTACATTCTCCTTTCTGCTCCCATCTGCTCTGATTTACCTTACAGATGATGCTGAGCTGTATCTGGGTGTTCCTCACCAGCCGTGTTGTTGGTTCAGCTTCTCGGCTTGGCCTCAGACCTGCCTCATCACCACACACTTCCCATGGATCTGGATCTTGGTGAAGCCTGGCTGCCTTTGCTGGCTCTGCCCTGCTCACCTCACTTAGGCACTGGGTTGTGGCTGGTGAGGTCCCTGCTTTGCTGGACATAGGACCACTTCAGCTCCTGGCTCACTTTTCCTTAAACTCAGGTAAAAACTGTTACTTTTAACCCATTTGATTTCCACAGGACCAAAACACAGGTGCACAAAGCAGAGATCACCTGCAGGGTGCTCCAAACAGGCCCCCAGTGAAGGTAATCAAGACACTAAGACAAAGGCAGCAGCTGAACTCCTTTTTCTTAAAGCTTTGGTGGGGCCTTAAGTGCTGCAGGCCAAGTTAGTCCATTTACCTCCCATATTCACCAGAGCAGCCCTCTGGACATTTGGTACCCATCCAGCCCAAAGTCCCCTTACTCCTCCTTCAGACAGGATCTTCAGAAATGCGTGGTGCACGCCCCGAAACCTGAAATCAAGATGCAACTTGTGGGTAGACAGCCCAACGAAATCTTTGCACATTCTAGTACTTTGCTGCACCAGGTCCTCACATAAGATTAGGAATTTATACCTGCAAGGATCTGGCCCTCTAGATCCACTTTTGGATCTGTCTTTGACTTTCATGCCACAATATTTTACCAGCACATATTAACTATGATACTGTTATATTAACTGTAATACTGTTTGCCTTGCAAAGCAGTGATCCGGTCCCTAACAGAAGACAACCCTTAGATCCCACACTGGGTTACAATACCAAATGTACGTGACACCAAATGATGGCAGCAGGCTGGGATGGAAAGAGCAGCATGTCCTGGTATTTGCAGGAGAATCTCAAGCCCTGCTGTGTGCCAGCCTTCCCTGTGCCTGTGCATCCAGGATGAGCCATCTCCCTCGTGCTTTCTTCCATCTTCAGACAGCACCCTTCCCACCCCATGGTACGGTGCTGGCATGGACGTGCTGCAGCACGGAGGATGGGTTTGTGGTCCCTGGGACCAATACATCAGAATAAAGGAGTATAAATGGAATAAGGACAAAGTCTTGAATTCCCCCCTCTCTTCACTGCCCAGAGCCATTGGGTGCTCTCCCTGTAAAAGGGCACAGAGCAGCTGGGGAGAAGGGGTGTCAGAAAACACACAGAACCACACCCTGGGCCAAAGAGTGATCAGTAACAGGGAAAAAAACACCAGCTCTGAGGGGAACCAACCTTAACGGTTTTCCTTCCAACTTCCTTTTTCCCTCCATCTGCATCTGCACCTTCACCAGATCAGTTGGGCTGGCAAAAAACTGTCCGATGGCACCCGCAGACATGCCTCCAACCACTGCTTTCCTGCCAAATGGAGAAAAATTGTGCTCCAGAATACACTGAAAATCTTCACAAGTCAAGTGCTCCAGCTGAAGAGTTCAGCAGCACAGCCCAGGTGGAACAATTCTAAATGGTTATTCCATATATTAACAGCCAAAGTGAAGGTAATAATTGTGGTGGCTATGGGTTGTTAAAGTAGTCAGTAATATTTCTGTAATTTTTCAAAAAGGGTGAAAACTTACCTGGGGGAAAAAAAAAAAATAAACAAGGTTACATGATGCTGTTTTCTTAAGGTTTAAACTCAGGATGGCTAAGTACACAAGTAAGGGATGATACTCCATGTATTAGGACTGAATGCCCACCTGAAATTCCAAACAGCTTGATGATATATAAAACTGTTCTTTCTCTCCCACTGCATGAGTTGTGTTAATTTTGTGGGTCTATTTATTTTATTAAAATCAGAAATTTAAGTGTTATCTGCAGGTTCCTCTTCCTGTAGCATTAGGCATGATAAATATTTTGTAGTAGATTTTATCAATTCCATTGTAAATCCAGATACATTTTGGACCTAAGATTTGGCTGTAGGACTCCTACAGCGAGAACAATCCCTAAGCAAACAATAAATATACATGAATATGCAACATTACCAGAGAGGAAAGCTTTCACCCTCCACCCTGCCAAGCACGGAGTCACGGAGATGTTCATAAGTAACCATCCGAACACCAGTGTATACTGTGGAAAACAAAAGCAGGAGACAGTTCTTGGGTCTGCCATTTCTTAGGTCTGCCTCGTGAGAGAGTGATCAAGACCTTGGTTTATGACTCTCCAGAGCTTGTCTGTGTCAGCTGGTCACCGCTCTCATGTCTGTGATCAGAATGGGGAAAATGAGGGGTTTGCCTGGTGTCAGTGGGAGACCCAGGGCGTTTTAGCATCAAAAAATCTCTCTGGCTAAGCCACACATCTGCCAGGACTCAACACAGCTTTGCCTGCACCCAAAGAAGATGGGACTGCATCGCCTCCTTCTGGGCTGATGCCAAGCACAAAACCCCCGCAAGTGCTTTCGAGGTTTGTTCCTATCACCGTATTTCCAAGTAAAACACAGAAAGTTATTTGTGACCAAACATCTAATGCATTTCTTTTAAGAACTTGTATTTTTCCCTTGTGCTTGCAGCCTCATCTTTTTTTCCATCTTTTTTCCTAATCTGCCCCCACTTCCCTCACGTATAAGACATCTATTGTTCTGAGAACTCTCAGTGTCTGGACTTCCTGAACGAGACCTTCCTGCAAAGATGACAGAGAATCTATATTTTGTTTTCCCAGAAGCCAGAACAGGGCCATGAAGGACTGAGAAAGGGAAGGAAGAGAAGCTCTTGATCTGGAATCTCGTATATTTCAAAGTGGGATTGCAGGCTAGACTGAAACGTCCTCACAGATATATTTAAAGTACAAGAAAATATGGCAAGCTCACTCCAAAAGGCTTGGCCACAGAAGGCGGGACCCATCGAGTCCCATCACGAGCAGATATTCACCTATGTGGCGGTAGACGGCCGGCGTGGCTCCTTGCCAGAGCTTCCGAACGCCCTCCTCCTGCGCGATTCCCAGCGCCGTGCGCAGCATCCCGCGGTACGGGACCGCCCGGCCGGCCGCAGCTCCATCGCGGCGCTCGGCAGCCTCACCTTGGATCTGCAGCCGGGTTTTCGTCAGATCCAGGGGAAATGTCACTGCGGGCAAAGCGCCGGGAACACACGTGAATACGAGAGCGGCTGCGAGGAGACTTCCCGTGCCGGGAACAGCTGCACCACAGCTCCCGGCCAGCGGCCAAGGGGCTGGGCAGGCACCAGCAGGGAGCAGGGGCTGTACCCAACAGGGTCCAGGAGATCCCTGGGGAAAAGGAGAATTCTCATCCAGGTCTGTTAAAAGCGGCTCTAGGCACAAGTAACTAAATTACATTCCTGTCAAACGCCCAGTCTTTCTCCCATATTTAGTTTTGCAGATTTGTTATGCAATAAGTGTACCTTCTGAGGGACTCTGAATTAAAAATCCTGTTCCAGTTACTCCCCCTGAATACAGACCAGTCATACCTCTCAATGGATCATGTGGCCTCTCCAATTCTGTCCAGCACACTGGCAGCACATGTTATGGTCAGGAACAACCCCACAGAGTTCATCACAATGCAGACACACATTCAGGCTCACCTACAAACTTACCTACATATCTGTCCTACAAACCACCCTAAAGCATGCTTGCTTTCTTTTTACAGGCACAAAAATAACGTTTAGCCTGTTACTTCTCTCACTGAAATAACTGAAATAACAGCAAAGGAGATCCAAGTTGATGTCAGCTTCCCAGGCTGCTCCTGAAACAATATGGATACATATTTGTGCCCCTCATTTCAGTGCCAGGCCAGGGGTCCCTGGCCACAGGCAATGGATCTTCCCAGCCTGTGGCCAGGAGCAGGGCTTGTCTTTGTCACCCTCTGTGACACACCAGGGTCCTTCCAAAGCAGGACTCAGGTGCTGGGGGAAGGCAGTCACTGCTCAAAGCCTCAGCAGATTTATAATCTATTTGTGCATTAATTTTGGTATTCATGTTTAAAGATTAGTAAGGATTGACAAGTTAAAAATCCTTAGAGCAGTGTAACTGACTTGCTATAAAGAACATGCCGGAAGATATTCAAAATAAGTTACTTGGTCACAAAGCAGTGCTACACAGATGCCAGTGGGCTTCTATTCCATGTTTAACCAAGCAGTTTTCCAACTCTATTTTTATAGGCATCTCCACTGTGACCAGAAATTTAAGAGTCGGTTTCTCTTTGATTAACCTTCATTAACTATGAAAAGGAAATTCCTGAAGGAATAAGGCCTTGCTAATAACTTAGACAACAGATCTGCCTGCCTCTTTAGTCTTTTTCTGAAACCCAGACAGTGAAAAGCTTAAATTAGTCACCACTGCACTGAGTTAATGACTGCAGCGCTTCGGTCTCCGAGGCAAAGATTTCATCCTTAAAAACCTTCCCTCCAGCCACGGCCATAGAACACTTGCAAGGCTTGGATTATGGAAAAGCCACAACTAGCACAGTGAAATGCAGATTTGCTGGAGCAGAACACTGAGGAATGAGGCAACCGGGGACTGATGTAAGTAACCACCCTGCCCCCCCGGTAAGTAAATTTGACCCCCTTCCCTCTCGGAAAACCACGGTGAGTTGTACCTAGTTCTGCCACAGCCGCTGCACAGGCTGACAGAGCGAATTTGCTGGCTCGGGGCCATCTCTCTGGAAGAGGTAAGCTCTTCTCTTCTTCTGCAGGTGACATCTAGCATCTCACATGAACCGAGGCTAACCAGCCACCCTGCCCGGGTGTGTCTGCAGCAAGAGCGGGCCCTAGCGCGGATCAGCTCGGGGTGGTTTAGGAGAAAAGCTGCTGAAGGTCATGTTTCTCCAGCGCCAGCACCGGGAACTGCAGCAGCCTCCGTGTCTTTGCAGAGCTGGAAGGTCCTCCCGCAGTGACACAAGAGAGGCCGGCGCAACAGGCTCCTGGGAAATGTAGTCTGTCACCAAGGCTGCTCTCTGCCGGGAAACCGGCACTGCAGGTACAGACACAAGCACGGTTTCGTCCATTATCGACATTGAAAAGACCAATTAATCATTAATGAGAGCTCAAGATTACGCGTGGGGTCTGTTTGCTTTGCAGGATGCTGTCATTGGCAGCGCTGCTTGGGAGCCCCAAACTCTGTTCCCGTGTCAAGCAGCTGCATCCGGGAGGGATTAATTGATCCAGATCTGGTTTAGTAAAAGCTGCATTAGCAACAGCTACGTGCCGAGCTGGGGCTGCGCATTGGGCACGTAGCCCTGCAGTTTGAACAAGGATACCAGCCAGCCTGGGATGGCAGAAATTGATCACTTCTCAGAGCCCTGAAGTGAAAAGTTTAAAGCTTTTCCTGGCTGAATGCTGAAGTCCTGTTATGTGCCAGTCCTAATTTCTCTAAAATTATTGTAGCTCTAGTTAGATTCTCATCATTAAAAAAAAAATAAAAAAAATAAAGAGGTATGCACTGTCCAAGGGAAGTTTTCCATTTATCATTATGGCTCAACTGAATCCCTCAGTTAATCATTAGCCATTAGTCAGTAATCCTCAAGCTGATTTGAGGATTTTTTTGGTCACAGAAACTTCTCCCAGAACACCTCCCCACATCTCTGTCTGACTGCCTAAAGCGTTGGTGTGTGGTCCCTGTCAAAATAATTCAGACAAATTAAGGGAGCATTGCAGGTGAAAGATTCAGTTGAAGTTGGATGAATCTGTCTCATTGGTCATCAGTAATTGGTATTAAATTGGATTCTTTTTGGGGTTAAAATTCATTAACATTCATGCAGGGATAAAACAAGCTCCTGACAAAGCCATGGTTAAAAATGGAGAGAGGGCATATTGAAATTGAATGCAAATGTGCCTGGCTTCATGGAAGGCATGAGTGGTTCAGATCCTGTTTCTGACCACTTCACGCAATCTGCTATGGCACTTTGTGCCTCCCTCCACAGCTGTTCTGTGGGCTTGGGTCAGCTTGTGCCACGCTCTGTTAGCCTGTGTATCATCAACTTGTAGTGTGGGGTAGAAAGGACCTCTAGAGTTCACCTGCAGTCTTCCTACAGTCCTCTGTCACAGCAGGGAGAGCTTTGGAGTTACATCAGGCTGCCCAAAATCTTGTTTAGTCCCCTCCCAGGATGAGGGTTTCACAACCATCCTTTAGCTGTACACCTCTGGGTATAGTCTCATTCTGTTTTCTCTATGACCATGCTTTAGGGAGTGGAAAACAACAACTAGATGCCACCTTAAAGTAAACCTCATAGCATTGCAGCATTCTATGGAAGAAGCAGTTCTCCGTGGTCATTTTTAGCCTGAAGAAATAGATTATTTTAAAAACCAGATGATTGGGGGATGGCTGTGAAGAGGAATATTCTCCTCCCACAGGACCTTTGAAATGAGCCTGACTAGAGGTGGATGCTTGCGTGGACAGCTCTGTGAAGTGTGGAGAAGAGAAGGGCCAGAACTCATGGAGATCCACCAAACACCTGGAGTTTCTATATCCCTGAATCCTGAGACAGACAGCACCAGCAGAGAGGACTCTTCCTGTTAATTTATTTTGGTTCTCAGTGAAATGGAGTTTTCCGGTTTCTGTCCCAAGCCAGTCTGACCAAAGGCTGCATATGCAGGGAGTGTGGACTTGAGATGGGGTGGAAGCATGGCAGTGGGGTCTGGGACAGCTGTGTGCTGCTGGAGAAAGGCAGCCAGACTGCCCAGTGCCCTCACCTGTGCTTCTGTGTGTGTTCACATTAACCACTGCACAGCCTGAGGAAAGCTTGACTTTTTCCCCATCATACTGGTTGTGTCCTCCTCACAATAGTGCCTTGCATCTCATGTCCTTCACCAAATCATGCCCTAAAAGTACAACCTAAATAAAACAAACAAAAAAAGGCCAAAGCAAACAGAAAAGCCTATAATGAATGTCTTCACAGAGGCTTGAGGGCTTGTCTTACCTGTATACATAGATCACTTTAAACTCACTACTCAGTCAGTTAATGAAAATATACCATGCATATAATGAAAATATGCATTTTCTTCAATATTACAAGGTCTTTAGCTCTTTTATCACTTTACCCCTTAACAGCAAGATATATAATTTAATGGATAAAAGAAAACCAGTAAATAAACATGTAAGGAGCTGTGACAGCTAAACACAGAAGTGTAGAAATACCACAGTTAACAGTGATTTATCTGTTTATTCCAGGCAGTTTGCAAAATGGAGATTAACACCCTGTTTGTCACAGTTGACATATGTGAGCTTGTTCTTCTGCACTTACAACCAACATGTAACATCCCAAGGTATTTCAGAATGACTGTTTAATGAAGAAACATACACCTGATTTTCACAGCTCTTAACCTCCTACTACCAGGTGTATTTCTGCTGTGCTACTTTTACTGTACTGCCTGTCTGCACAGGCACAAAGGTTCCTGTTTGTGCACCCATTCCTGTATAGGAAGGGAGTTAAACTGTATTTGTATTTGTTTATTCCCACTGCCTCTTGCCCTTTAACTGGGCACCCTGAAAAGAGCCTGGCTCCATCCTCTTTGCACCCTCCCTTCAGGTGTTCATACACACTGAGAAGATCCCCCTGAGCCTTCTCCAGACTGAGCTGTTCCATCTGCTTCAGCCTCTCCTCAAATGACAGATGCTCCAGCCCCTTTTTCACTCTTGGCAGAGGATCACCTCCCTCAGTCTGCTGGCAGCACTTTCCCCAATGCAGCCCAGGGTGCTCTTGAGTGTGTTATAAATACATATTATAATATTGGCTTTTCACAAAATATTGAAATATATGTTATATATATATATATATAATATTAAAGTAATTCTGCTATAGTTTTTTATTTCTATTAACTAAACTTAGGCATAGTAGTGGTATAGCTGATAGCTATGCTTGAACTGCCTGCTTGGTTAACATCCAATATGATGAAGACCCCTGCTACTGATGTGTCAGCTATCAGCACCTACCATCTGAGGAAAGTATGGACCAAAACCCAAACTGGAGATGATAATAAGAACGGACTGAAACCACAGCCAAGGAGCATGCATGCTCTAAAAAGGTGGTCCTGAGGAGGAGTCATGCTAGACAGTTCTTAGAGCATGTAAACTATTTGGAGAAAAGTTTAAATATGTGTAATTGTTACTGAATATGCAACAGGCTGATGCAATAGAAAAGATATATAAAGGGTGTCTCAGAAATAGCAGGTGTGCTCTTGGCAGACCGCCAAGCACCCAGACATTAAACTTTGCTTTATTTTTGTCTCCTCTTGTCTTTTATTAAACCTTTAAATTTTACCAGGAAGGTGAAGCAAAGTGTGAAGGTCCATCTCTGACTCGTGTTCAACATGGTGTCCACCAGGACCTCAGATCTGCAAAGTTCCTGTCCACCCCCTCAGCCTGTACTGGTGCAGGGTGTTGCTCCCACCCAGGGGCAGAACTTGGCATTTCCCTTTGCTGAACTTCATGAAGTCCCTTTTTTTTTTTTTTTTTTTTTTTCTGTAGGAAAAGCTGGACCAGGAGATCCTTGAGGTCCCTTCCAAGCCATTATTCTCTGGTTTTGGGATAAGTCCCTGTCTGCCTGTTTTCCAGCCTGCTGAGGTACCCCTGAGTGGCAGCACACTCATCTGGTCTGTCAGCCACTCCTCCTGGTTTTGTGTTCTCTTCAAACCTGCTGAGGGTGTGCGGGGCTAGATTCTGACAGCACTTCCTAGGGGTTTTTTATACTTAATGTATTCTCTAATAATTTTGATGTGCCACTTTCACACATGGACCTCTCTGAGACCTTGTCTTCTGATATGGCACTGATATAATAGAGGTCACCAGCAGGTTTTGAATTGTCATTTCAGCCTCAGAAGTGTTTCTCTGCTCCTCAGACACTGGACACGCATCTAGCCTTTAATGATGTATCTCAGACAGGTGAGAGATACTTTTCTTAAGGCTTCTGCTTCAGCTGATGCCTGCAGAAGTTTCTTGTGATCTATCTGACTTGCTGAAAGCTAAATGTCTGCAAATCACAGATCTGTTTTGTGATCTCAATACTGAAAAAAAAACCTGTATTTTTTTTTTAAATTGAAGAAGGCTCTGCACCACTTTGCCACTGTCCCTGGCCGTGTCCCTGGCTGCCCGGGCGGCCTTCCAGCAACCGGTCCAAAGTCCAAGGATTTGCCACAGCAACATCTACGGTTTGCAAGCGGCAGAGTTGGTCCTCATCCCAGAACAGAGCAGAACTGGCTCTGCCTTTTCCAGAGCAAGGGTTTGTTCCCCGCGCCGCTCAGGGCTCGGCCGGCAGGGCCGCTCCGGAGCTCCCGCCGATGAACTCGGAGCGCGGCCAGCGCGGCCGCGCCGGGGCCGGGCAGGCGGAGCAGCTGCCGGGGCTGGGACAGGCGGCGAGGAGGCAAAATGGATCTCGCTCTGCTCTTGGCAGCACTCCTGGGACTCCTCATTGTCAAGGCTCTTTTGTTTCAGCTGAGAAACCCGAGCTCCCCTCCTTGCATCAGGAGCTGGATCCCTTGGTTTGGAGCCGCGTTTCAGTTCGGGAAAGCTCCTCTGGAGTTTATAGAGCAAGCCAGAAACAAGGTAATGCGTGTGCTGCCGTGCCTGCTCGTGGGTGCGTGCTCAGGGTGGCTGCTTGCAAGGGGAAAGGCAACCAGAAACTTCTGCGTTCAGGTTTGCCCTTTTCTGTCACGTCTTATAACGTCAGGAACATTTAAATGGTGGAGAATCGGCTTAGCACCACCAGCTTTGGTGAGTTGTGGATCTGATCCAGGAACGGTCTGTGTGCTATGATCATCCTGCTTGGACCTCTGCCGTTTTGCTTTTGCAGTCTGGCTGTGTGTTAATCTTGCTTTCAGATAATGTGGAAAGCTCTATGCCAAGTGCTGGGACCAGAAACTACTTATTTGCATGCCTAAAGTTAGGTGAGATTTTTGA